GTGTGTGTGTTTACTGGTACAGTAGGGTAGGGAGGTGTGTGTGTTTACTGGTACAGTAGGGTAGAGGGGTGTGTGTGTTTACTGGTACAGTAGGGTGTGTGTGTGTGTGTGTGTGTTTTTACTGGTACAGTAAGGTAGGGAGGTGTGTGTGTTTACTGGTACAGTAGGGTAGAGGGGTGTGTGTGTGTATTTACTGGTACAGTAGGGTAGGGGGTGTGTGGGCTCAGTGGTCACTCAGTTCCACTGTCATCAGCGCTGACAGAGGTGCAGCAGAGTGACTGTAAACACACTTCAAAGCCCGAGTGTGTTTCCACTGAGTTCACACCAGCCTCTGCCTGTCTGCCTGATACTCGCTGGCCTCCCTTTACTGGAACTGCTCTCCTGCCAGCAGCTTCTGTGGTGCAGCATGGTAATGACTCAGTACTACCCAGTGAGATCAGGGTAAAAGCACAGTACAGGGCAGCCCAGTGAGATCAGGGTAAAAGCACAGTACAGTACAGGGCAGCCCAGTGAGATCAGGGTAAAAGCACAGTACAGTACAGGGCAGTCCAGTGAGATCAGGGTAAAAGCACAGTACAGGGCAGCCCAGTGAGATCAGGGTAAAAGCACAGTCCAGTGCAGTAAAGCCCAGTGAGATCAGGGTAAGAGTACAGTTTCAGTGTAGTAAAACCCAGTGAGATCAGGGTAAAGGCACAGTCCAGTGCAGTAAAGCCCAGTGAGATCAGGGTAAAAATGCAGGATGATCTGTGTGCCTCAGAAAGCTGATGCTGTGACTGACAGGGTGTACTTGTACTCTGGACACCTCATTCACGATCATTATAACACCGACTGGGACACTGGTGCAGGGTGTCGTACAACAGGAACTTCGAGATGTGGATCATAAATAAACACACAAAGTAGCCACAAGGTAGAAAGAAAAGTGCTCTTTATTTACAGTATGTAGAAAGTTAACAAAACAAAACACACCAAAACAAAAGTTAAAGTATTACTGCTGTAGAGGCTCTGTATTACAGCTGTACAGGGCTGTACAGGTCTGTTTTACAGCTGTACAGGGCTGTACAGGGCTGTACAGGGTCTGTCCTGCGGTGGGCTCTGGCCTCCTGTCTCTGGATCTCCGCTGAAAGTCCACCTGAATGTAGGTCACCAGCTCGTCCTCACTGCCCCTCCTCTGCGCGGCGCAGAGAAATGTCATTACAATAACGCACTCATGAGACGAGTAAAAGAGTCCAGAGCCCGTGGAGGCGCCCGTCTCACCTGCTGCGGGACGTCCTGGTGGGTCCGTCTGCGACTCTCCCTGCCAGCTGCCAACACAGGAGAGGGGGGTTACTGTGGGCACGGCCCAGGCCCTGGGCTCACAGGTCCAGACGCCAGTGTCCAGCCCTGCGGTGTGGTGACCGCACGTGGTGCTGACCTGCGCCGGTGTCACAGGTGAGCGGACGGAGGGGTCCGTCCAGGCATGGAGGGGGGCAGCGTCTGATGGCCACGGCGCTGGCACACAGGATCGCAGCGAGGAAGAGGAGGCAGGCCGAGGGAGGAAGAGCAGGGAGGAGGGAGCAGGACTCTGGAACGACACAGACAGGGGTCACCGGGACAGACAGCAGGCAGACAAGGAGAAAGAGACAGAAAAACAGGCAGCAGACAGCCAGAGACGGACTGACAGGCCGACAGGCAGAGAGACAGTTAAAGAGGCAGAAAGAGGGGACAGAAGAGAGACTGGCAGGCTAAGAGACAGACAGGCAGCAGACGGGCAGACCAAGAGACAGACAGATAGACAGAGACATACAGACAGACAGGCAAATAGAGAGACAAAGTAGTACACAGGCAGACAAGCAGATAGACAGAGGAGACAGAGAAATGGACAGAGCAAGAGACAGACAGGCAGACCAAGAGACAGACAGGCAGCAGACAGGCAGACCAAGAGACAGACAGACAGCAGACAGGCA